CTCTCCTTTACCAGAACTCCATTGACTCATCGTGGTGTAGTTATTTGTCATCGGAAAAGGATGTTGTTACTCAATACTGAATTATTTTGAGTAAGAAGCCGCCTTACTTCCAAGCACGCAGAACTGGAGGCATTTTCCTTCCCTGCCTCCCTGAAGAGCTCCCACCTTTGCAAGAAACGGGCAGAACAACGCTGAGGCTCTTTCAGGCAACGCAAACGATTTACAAAACTCAAAGGCAGGCATGCACTAAAGGAACCAAATGAATAACACTCTGCTCAACTAAAAATAGATGATAATATTCCAAGGAAAACGTATAAAGTAGGAGACAACTCTGTTTCATATCACAATTTTTCTGCAAAGCCTATTCCCAGCTCTGCTTTTTATTAATGAAGACATGCACATGAAGTAATTCGCCTCATTAATCAACTTCGTTCCTTTGGTTTCTTCTCACTTGAAGTGACAACTCTCCACTCGGGATGTCACGTTTGGATGCCGGCGTGGAGACCGGCTCTGGGAGAGACGAGTTAGAGGCAGATGAAACTCTTCAGAGACTTGGGCTCCAGAAGGCCTCTCTGGTGGATGGGAAGAGGGAAGGAAACGGTGTCTGGTGAGCAGCAAATGCAACAGCTCACTGGGGAAGAGGAGAAATAGCATGCTGGAGGAGAGCTGAGCGGTTTGAAGGCAAAGAGAAACCATCCCTGAGTGGGACAGGGGAGCAAGATAAGGGCAGGCAGCTGAAGGCACCACCCAGCCCCTGCTTGTTCCCTCCATGGATTATTTGGTTCCAGTAAGCGGCTACGCAATGGGAAGATCCGCCTGCACCAAAAGGTCAGCTGGAAAGCCTCCTTCCAGTACAGCTCTTCCATCTGGTCCTCATTTTTCTGTTTTCCATCCTCCCCAGATGTGGCTGTCCGCGCCGCTAACGTAAGCAGCCGAGAGCACCCCTGTGCCAGCCCTCTGCAAAGCCGGCCCCTCTGCTCCTCCACAGCTCTGAGCAGCAGCGTCCCCATCGTGCCGAGCCCGCAGCACAGCCAGGTGAGCTGCTCGGCCACGCAGGTCCCTTCTTGGCCACCGAATCATGGGCGGTGTGGGGACAACACCGGCTCTGATGCTGCCACCCTCCTGCTCGCCCTAACCAGCTGCTTCAGGGGGATCCTCGCCCCAGAAAGTGCAGCTCAGGGCAAGTCCTGGGAACAGCCCCAGCGCCTCGTTCTGCCCAGCAAGAAACACGTTTTGGTCATCACCTCGGCTGCACATCTGCTTTTCTTCTGCTCCAGCACAGCTGTGCAAAAAATCCAAATCCAACTCCAGGGCTGCACTTTGGTTTGGGGCTGGGCACTCTTTTGGCAAACACCAGGAGTGTCAGCCAAATTCTGCTCATCAATCTGATCCAAAGGCTGCTGTCATCTCTTCAGAACACTGGCGAGGGGAGCGCCAGAGCGAAACAATGAAGCTGGAGCAGCGGTAGCTGGTGTCCTGCCTGCGGCCACGCTCAGCAATGCTTCCAGGGCAGCAGGAAAATCACAGCACCCACTTGTGCCCGCTCACAGCACGCACAGAGGGGACAAGCAGAGCCCCAGCGCTGTCCCCATGGCTGATGGAAGGTCCCTGAGCAGGGTGCCCGTGGACACAGTGATGCCCCATTCATAAAATGGTGCTGGTCCATCCACAGTCCCTCGTGGTGAGACCGGGCAGCTCACCTTGCATCCCTGTACCCGCTGCAACTCCTAACCCAGGCCTCACAGCACTCTGCCTGCTTAGGGCCAACCTGCACACAAAGTGCTGTGTATTTTCGGCAGGGCAGCAGTGGCACTGCTCTGGTCCTGCGTTTCTTGAAGCCTGGATAGAAAATGGCTCATTGGGATCTCACGTACACAAACGCCCACCGTGCTGCAGCCACTGGCTACATTTTGGAGAAGCAGCAGCTTCATCGTGTGTGCTCAGGACCTTCTGAACAGAGATGCTTGAGACTTCATCCTCCCCATGTCACCCTTTTATCCCAAACACGGTGGCAGGTTCCTTCCTTCCCTGTGAACACATCAGAGGTGGGACAGTGCAGCCTCCACTGCGTTGTGCAGCCTAGAGCAGACTTTGTCACATGAGGTTTGCAAAGAAATAAATTAATTATCCGAGTTATTAAGAATGATATCCCGTCCCTCTTCATCCAAAATTTGCAGGTGAACATCCCAGAAAGCCCTGGAAGCAGGGACTGTGCTGCAGCAGGCGGTCCAGCCCCAGCAACGTCCCACATGTGGCCTGTAGGTGACGATGGCATCCAGCACAGGAGAGTGAGATGGGAAGCAAACACCGGGACCAGAGAGACAAAAAGACCCCCGTGCCCTCCATGCAGCTGCACCAATACTGCTCAAAGGCTTGTCCTGACCAGGGTCGTGCCTGGCCAAGGAGCCCCAGCTCACTGGGAGAAACCACCTGAGCTGCTGCACTTAAAGCCCGTAACTGCAGAGGGCTCCTGCTCCGTTTCCACTTCATTCACTTGACCCTGATACTCGAAACCAGGAGGGATTTTGAGCAAGGCTCGTTATTGTTGGCACGTGCTTAACTGTTGAGCACAGGTCTAAAAGCCCAGCTGGATCAAAAGACCTGCTCAAACCACCTAAGAGCCAACCTGCTCTCCCTGCTGCTGCGGTAGCTGAGCACCTTCTGGGCTTCACACGTCGATGCTCTGAACCCTGCAGATCTGAGCAGGGCAGGGAGCTGAGAGAAGGCAGAATCACAGCTTCCAGAAAAGGAACAGAAAGACTCCCAGCACAATCCTCAGCATCCTCTAAGCATTTGGTACAGCGGAGACACACGTACAGCAGCACAAGTTCGTGCCTTGCCACCAGTCATCAAAAATGTTCACTTTCCCCTAACCTGCCCCAATATCAGAGTTCACAGTAAACTAATCCCCACAGTCTTTGTCCTCCTGTCAAATTTGGCTGAAACAGGGGGAGAAAGGGAGAAGACAGCCCTTGGTCCATAGGAAGCTACACTAGACATGTTGTGATCCATGTTCAATGGGATTTCAAAACTGAGATGAACAAGACTGGAAAAAATCAACAAACCCAGATCTGCCACTGCAGGAATAGTAGGGCATGCCGTAACCCTAAAAATAGAAACCAGTTCTCTGGGGTTTATAAAATAATAACAAACCTACAGAGCTCATAAAATAGAAATTGTTTCTGCAGTAAAGTTTAATTTTAGGGCCCATACTCCCCTCCCCCCCCTTATGATGTTAACTATCAGAAGATTAAAAGCATCTTATGAATGCTATTTTGTCTTCGGGCCTGTCTCTAGAGCTCTGATTCACTTCATCCGAGTAAAGCTTCCATTATTTTCAACTCGCTTAAACACCAGCAGCTCACAAAGAAAATCAAAGCGCTGCTACCCAGGAGGTGGAAGCGTTACCACATCCATCTCTGCTCCCAAACACCATTCCATTTCCACTTCGCTTCTGCATTTGCTCACAGTTCAAGTTTTACGCAATTTTGGTAAGGAACCGCAGCAAGCACGGAAGGAGGGGAATTTTTAGAGATGATCAGGAAATGCGTGCAACAAGGCACAAGATCCCTGCGCTCGCTCACAGCCCTGCACTGAGGTTTGCCACATGAGAGACACCTCCAGGCGTGCCAGTGCCCAGCTCCAGCCCAGGCAGCGCCCACCCACACGCGGTGCTCTCCCACGAGGACATCCCACCACGAGCATCACCCCTGCAGCACAAGCTGGGCTTTGAGCTCTGCTCACCCCCTCCACCAGCCCTGACCTCTTTAACGGAGGTAACCACAGCTGGATGAGGACCAAATCCATCTGCTGGATTTTTTACCTGCTCAGAGTTTGTTTGATCAGCCTGAAGGGAACTAATTAAATCAGTTTGACTAAGCAACTGGATGTAATAAAGGCTCTCCATATGCTTGTGCTGAATTAGGCTCTGAAGTCTGCTTTGTGCTGAGTTTCGCCCTTCAGGTATATGTATGGCTTTGGAAATGCAATTATTATCACCTCCTTATTAGATAAAGCTACTTAGCGCAGCCACAGGCACGTAGCTGCAGTAACTCACTGGTTGCTGGGCTGGGCTCACACGGTTCTGCAAAGCCAGGAATAAAACCAGCCTCTGAGCCTGTCTGGACTGCAGGTCCCAGGGAGCAAGGAGAGAGGAGGTGGATGAACAATCTTGGCAATGTTAAAGCTGTTTTCCCAGTGCAGGTGTGGCAGCAGAGCTGGAGGTCACTGTGAGCCCTCAGCACCATCCAGGAGAGCGGGGGCTACCCAGCAGGACAGGCTGGGGTGCGTGTTTTGTCCTAGGGGAAAACTGCTCTCTCATCTCAGCATTTCTGATTTTCAGAGCTCCACAAGCAAACCCCAGGCACAAGCTTTGCTGGACTATCACCAACACAGAGATGAAGGGGGCAAACCTACCTCCGGTCAAGGGCGCTGCTCACCCATCAGTGGTTAGCCACATCCTGCAAGAGCAGGAAGCCACCCTAAAACTGCTATTAAACAGGCTGATTGAAGCAAGGTCTCCCCACTTAAACTCAGCTCCCTGCAAGCTGCTTGTGCGTTTCTCAGCCCTCCTTGCTCTGCCAAGGTCCCACGGGCACGGTGAGCCCCCTGGTGCAGGCTGGTGCTGCTGGGGGAGACGGAGCCCCATGTCCCCCCCTTCCTGACCTCTGTGTGGCTTCTCCTCCAGCCCTTTACGCCAAGCTGCTTCTCTCACAAGCAGTCAGTGGGGACTCAACCTACTGAAAAATTCATCTGAAATGCATCACCGCTGAAAAACCATGAAATACCATGAAAGAGTTCAAGCCTTCCACCCGTGTAACCATTACTGGAGAATATCGCATTGCTTACTGAGTTTTAGGGCTGAACCTCTCAAAAGGCTGAAAGGGAGGAAAGAAGGAAAAAAAAAAAGATCAAGACACGCAAAGAAAATCAAGTGTCATAGAAAAGGCACATAGGATCACATTAAAAGAGAATAAAAATAAAAGGAATAGCAGAGTTACCGGATAACCATCGCGTCCTGACTGCCCCTGTGGTGGGGAACAAGCGAGACAAGAAGTCAGTCAATGCAAAGTCAGACAGCACATCGGCTGGGCTCATCAGCTCCCCAGCTGGCCCCAGGGCTGAACTCCCTCCAGAGGGACCTCTCAGGGCAGTTTTCCTCTCAAAAAGGTCACGCCTACAGCCCATTTTCCCAAATTTTGACCTTGCGCTTCACTTTGGCTACTTACCGAAGGTTTCACCGACTCGCACCCAACCCCGCTGCCCCAGCAATCGGCCAGATCCTGGCCGTGCACCCACAGCCCCTGTCCCACACGCTGGGGAGAGGTTTCACTGCTGACTGCAGCACCTGGCCCAGCGCAGGTTTCCCCCTCTCAGACCCATTCATTTCCTCGAGGAGGCGGCTCTCCCAGCTAACCCTCACTTCTGTTTGCAATGAGGCAGAAAGAAGAGGATGCTATGGGGAGAGACCTTAAATCATTAACACCTGCAAGACCAGCAGAGAAAAACACAACCCACCCAAGGTATTTCACCTTTTCTTCTCCCCTCAGAGGGTTCCCAAAGGCATTTACAGCTCGAGCTGCTGTAAATACACCGCGAGCTGCGCTGGCGGCACTGCACGGGGCTGCAGAGGAGCCTGCTGCAAGCCAGACGTAAGGCAGATATCCGGGAAGGAGCTGTTAAGCATTAGCTGGTACACAAGTAGGCAGTAAAGCCTGTGTCTGGTACAGCAGTGTCATATGCTACTATAAACACAGGTTATGTCAGCATGCTGCGGGGAGATTCATCCATTTCTTACGGCACGAGCAGCCCTGGCAGCTGGCTCCTACGCAGGGTGGTTCTCGCTTCTTGCTAAGCGCCCCGAAGCTTTGAATGCCTCCTGCAGCATTATTGATTCATCCAGAAACAACACTGACTTCAACAACCACCTATTTAACAAATTACAGTCTTGGGATAAAAAGTAGAGTGAGATTTTTATGGAGACGTATGGCACTGGAGCGCACACGCAAATAGGAAACACTTGTAACTCTCTCGCTGGTGAGCTCCCCAGTCAGCATGCTAATACATAAAGTGTCTGTTAATATCTGGGACTGTAAATGTTTAATTACGCTGTGTGGTAAGCCTATCCTTCAATTGTAGAAGTTTCCTACCCAGCATGTGATTTTAATACCCTCGGAAACAGAGGTTTTATAGCACATCGCAGCAGAATACCCCTCGCTCACAGACAGGATGATCAATCATCCACCAGCCACAAATCCTGCACCACAAATTCTAATAATTTCATATACACAACTAGCTTATGACAGCCAAAATGAAATACCAGAACAACTGCTACCAGGGAACAACGGAATTGAGGATACAGTTTTAGCAGAGTGTGATGCCGTACATGTAAGATGTAATCAACTCCTTATGGCCAAAATCAAGAAACAGAAGAAACTAATAGAGTTAAATGCAGTACTGTTGAAATAAAATAATATTGTGGTTCTGTGGGTTCTAGGACTTTTATTATATATTATGTTTAAAGAAGTCCCTGGCACATGCTACTTAAACTAAAAATGCAGGATTATTATTATTTTTGTAAATGAACTGAACCAGGAGTTGTCTCTTAAAGGGCAAGGGGAGAGAAAAATGTCTTGTTTGTGTTAAATCTCCCCTGCGCTCCCTTTGCAATTCAATCGTGCCGTGGGAACCAGGAAACGAAACCAAGGAGAGACAAAGAAAAATGAGGAGCGCGCCATATGCTGCCTACGCCGCGTACACCAGGAGTGAGCAGAGCACACGTGAAGAAGCGTAACACAGTTGGCCGTGTGTGGGCTGATAACAGCCCCTGATAACAGCAGGAGCAGAGCTGAAATGGTTAAATAAACCCCTTTTAAATAGCCAAAGTACTTTATGAGAAAAAGGCCCCATGAAGATGCATATATCTGGATTTCAATAGCCTATATCCTCTTCATTCGTAACCTGCCACTGAGCAAGAAATTAAAAATATTTTTCAAATTAAGTCGAATTGCATGAGTTGCAGAGAGGAATGACACCGTCACCCCGCAGAAGCAGCACAGGGCCCGGCCCCGACACCCGAAATGCCCCCAGCAGCAGGACTGTGCCCGGTTCCCCTTCGGATGCTGCTCGCCCCGTGAATGCCCCCGCAACCAACATTTCACAAACCCACGGAGTCATTTTTATTGTGTGGGTAGAGAGGCCCTGTTGCAGTTTTTAATTATGGAATATTTACAGGAAAATTAATTCATTGACAGGCTGAGTTTTGGAACACAAACTAACAGGGAAAATTCGTTTGTTTGTGTTTCTCGAGCCAGTCAGTATCTTGGATTTATTGCTGGTGCTGGGCACAACTTTTAGTGCAAATGTGTTCAGATCTCAAAGAACGGTCAAGCCCAAGCCATTAAGTCTTAAATTTTCCTGATTTGCTTCTTCAAAACCTGGCCAAATAATAATTTAGCTCAACTCCCTCTTTGGGCTAAAAAAATAAACTTGAAATAGAAGCAAAATTTCCAAGGGCTAAGAGCCATGAACTGACCCCACCGGTGGCGGCGTCCATCCCAGGAGAAGCACAGCCATGGCGCTGTGACAGCCCCCGTGCTCCACACGCATTTCCCTGTCAGCTTTTGGCCTCTAAACAGACGTACAGAGCTGGAAATTAATTAGCCCAGGAATAGTCAGCATTTTTTTTTTTTCCTGAAACGATCCCGTTTTAACCCAGTGAGGTTCTGTAAGAAGAGTGACCTGAAGAAACATCTCTGTTAATGCAACAGTGAACAAGGAAACATGCAGCTGCCAACAGCCTGCACCTCTCCTCCTCCTCCAGCTTTGGGGGAAGAAAGGTAGAAGGAAAACAGAAGCACCTAACGCCCATAAATTCTCTTTAAAAATCCCTCAGCAGCTCGGAGGGCCCAAGCGAAATGCTGTATTCTCGCTCCAAGAGCAGCGGGAGAACATCGGATTTGGATGTGGTGGTGGCACAGCGAAAGGCATGTCTGAACATTTGGAAGGAGGAGTTGACACATTTTCAACTATTACCCCTTCAAACAACAAATTCCCCATAAATTTTCTGGTCGCACTGGGAGGAATGCTTGTTACTCTCCCCAAGACTTCAAAGAGAAGCAAGCGAGCTACGTCGTTCCCTCCAGCCCCCTTTGCGAGCCTACCAAACCCGTATTAAGCGATGGAAACGCAGCAGATAAGAAAAGCAAGACAGAGCTTTAGGACTAAAAATCCCACCAAAACGTTAAAATATTAGTATAGCACTCATTCAGCTAAATGGAAGCTGAGTAAAGACACTCTACAGGGAAAACTCTTTTTACTGAATATTTGCTTGGTTTAAAATTACTGGAAGTCCCTGAGGGCAGCAAGTTAAACATTTAAAAACTCCCCCCACACCATTTGTCTACAATTGTGAAAAAAATACAGCAGCATCTGGTACCAATTGTGCTTCCAGACACACCTCTACCAAAAAATGCTGTGCTTTTGCAACGACACAGAAAGGAAGGGGAGGGGGAAGGGGCAGCCTTAACTTTGTTGATCCAACAGTAAAATCCACGATACTTACTGCAGGTCCTGGAAAACAAAAAGAAAAACAAAGAAAAGAGTCACTTAATTATGAAGTATAATCTACAAAAAAGCACATAACAGGGGAAAAATCAGGAAGTCGCAGTACTTCTGGGTTCAGTCCCAACAAGATGACTTTCTGGACGCGCTCAACGCCACCCGCCCGTTCCCGTGCGGGACCGTCTCACCCGCTGGTGGCAAGTCAGAGCTTACAGCAGCCATAAGACCCCATTCCTACCCCGTTCCCCGTTCCTGTACCCTTTTCCCCGTGTGACTCCCTTTTCTGCCCCATGTGAGGCCCTGGACACATCACGAGGCATCGCTTGCATTCAGTGCCCACAGCACCATGCGCAACCACACAGCACCGGGCAAGGATGTTGCCACAGCTGCCGTCGAGGTAAGAGTGATGCACAGACCCCAAATGTCACTGTCATTCAGTCCCCTGACCTCAAAACATGTCACAACACCAAGATCCTGAATGTGCTGGTTGCTCTGTGCATCCTGCTTCGGGGCTTTGCCATACTTGGAGCCAGCTGAGCGGCTGATGCACGATGCCTTAAATCCAGGAGGAAAAAAAACACCTTCTACAGTAAGTTTTCATGCACCAGTATCACAGCCTGAAGCTGTGGTTAGCAGCAGTTAATAAACAGTAATAAATAACCCAAAACTGCCTTCCCCTGCAGGGCAGGGGTCCCCGCCACGTGCCAGACTGATTCCTGCAGCTTTCCCAGCGTTTGCCCTGCTCGGCGCTACCCGGAGGTGCACGCTGAGCCCCCGCTCTAATGCAAGCCATGTTTCCCTCCTGTTTGTGAGGCATCCTAAAGCTCTCCGATTTGGGCTCCTTCATGCTCCATTTCCCGTCTGATCCAAACCAGAAACAAATCACAATTAAAAAAAAAAAGAAAAAAAAATGTGGGAAAAATTAAAACGGAGCAAAAACGCCTTTCTTCGTCGCGTATTATTCTATAATATACACCAGGAAGCGTGTTTCGGGCTAACACATATTCAAGGTTTCTTAAGTTTGTTTAAAAAATCGTATGTTGAAAAGTTAAATAAGAAAAATCCCGAAAGGCTAAGAATTGAGACTGGGACCAAGGAACAAGTGCCAGGAATCAGCCCAGTACCCCGTGTTCCTCCGCTTCCCATGGCCAGCTCTGCACGCAGCCAAGCACACGGGGGGCACGGAGAGGAGGCGACGACCTCCAGATCTGCCCCCTACCAGGGCCAGCCAAGTCTCAGTGCTAAAATTCACACGGGCCATTAGCGTGCTTTCTTTGGTTTAATTTCTTGTGAATACAGAAGTCAATGGATCTCGGCCAATTTATTAACTGAGAATCATAAACCTGATTTATTAACTCCCTCATATGCCAAGCTACCCACAAAAGCCCCTTTGTAGAAAAGTGAAAACTAAGTCTCAAACAAGAATCGGCCAGGAAATTATTTTAATATGGGATTTCAATCAGCTACCAATTATAATCTCCGTGGAATTTGCTGCCTTTTTCCTTTTTCCAGCTACCGTTTTCTCCCAGCGCATGCAGGCAAATGCTCCTTTAAAATGCAAGGCTCAGAGCTGAGGGCTCTCTGTAGATGCCAGGTAGGATGCTCCTTAAGGACACCTGGGGAGTTAGGCTCCTCTTTAGTGGCAGTCATGGCCAAAAAGTCTTCATTAAGGCATGAAGTGCAACCTCCTGAACCAAACTTTTTTCCCCTCTAAGAACAGCATCACGTGCTGGCTTGCCCAACGTGTTTGCTAAAAGCTCAGCCACAAGACCGCTGTCTCCCGTGGAAGCAAGTCAAGCGTTTTGCAAGGCAGCAGCAAACAGAAGTTCCTCGCATGCCAAGGGGCTGTCCCCGACCTGGCCGCCTCCTCGGCACAGGCACATTGCACAGGGCACGTGCTCTGTTCAGAGAAATTCGCCAGAATTCGCTGCTAATAATTCTGAGTAGAGCCAATATTTTTAAAGCCCTGAAGAATGAAACCAGTTATTATTAGAGTTGGAAACAGATTTTGTATATCTGAAATTTGATAACAAGTAAACTTGGGGGCTTAGTTCAGAAGGAATAGGAGGCAGACAAAATAGGTTGCATTGCATAAAATTTGGTCTATGATTGGTTTGCTGTAGCGAGGGAAACTTGCCACGCTTTTCCGTAATGCAGCAGCACTCGTTGCTGCTGTGCTAGGGGCACCATGCTGGGATCTGAAACTGCCAGGGCACGGAGATGCCTGGATACACCAAAAGATTCCTCAGGAATCTGAACAGTTGCGCCAGAGGGAGGTGAAAATGGAAACTTTTACAGCTAAGTGACCCAGATTTGCTGCCTGATGGCCATTAACGTTACTCTGTATACCCAAACCTCACTAATGCCCACAGAATTATCTCCACAAAAACACGTGCTGCGTATTTATGTGCACAGCTACTGAGCCGGGATGCTGCGAGGGGAGCAACTCAGTCATGGACAAGGAGGAAAGGGACGACTGCCAGGTCAGACATCACGGATCAGTTTTGCAGCACGGGGAAGAAACTTCTGTCCCTTTCTGCTGGCCTCAGGATCTCCTGTCCGTGCCTCAGCGCGGGTGCAAGTCCTAGCAAAGAGGCGTCGCTGCTGAGAGCAAATGTAGGACAGATGAGATTTTTCCTAACTGCTCAGTAGAAGCCAAAGCACTCCTCCATCTACGATGGCATATGGACATGAACAATCATGGCAAAAGGCAGGGAGCAATGGAAATTCCCAAATAAATAGAAAGCTCTCTGTGATTTCCTCGCACGCACACATGCGCTGACTGAATAACAACTGCACGTTTACGGTTGTACAGTCGCATGGCCAAGAGGCTTGGAAGAGTCTTAATGGGTAAAATATGGGGCTTAAGTACGTGTAGGGCTGGGAGAGAAGTCATGTGTCTCTGCACAGAAACTGCTTTGCTCTCATTCCTTAAAAAGAGCTTTAGAGTCGCCCCTGTTCCAAACTGGGCTATTTCTGTAAACAGAAGAGATGTAACAGGATAATAATAAAAAAAAAATTACTTGGTACCAAAACCTTTTTAGAAGTTCAAGCTGAAGAAACAACTGCAGCGTGATGTAAATTTGGAAACAGAGTTGGGGCGGGGGGAGAAGGCCGTTTTATCCCTTTTCAAAATTTCAAAACCTTTTCCCTACAAGTGTTTCTGAAACAGAAAATTTCTGTAAACAAAACTCGCTGCCAGAGACAGCAGTTTTTGCTAAGTCAACACTTTCCAGTGCAGAAATACTTTGTCCAATGACGATAACCCTTCCAGGCGTACCCATATAGGCAATTTCTGTGCCTGAAACTGCCAACTGCCCTCACCGCGCTGTCAGTTTGGGAGGTTTATGTCCAGAATTAGATCTTGCTTCACGTGCTGGGAGTAGAGACCTACACGGAGACTTCACAGACTTCCCATGTCAGATGTGTTTCCTTCCTGGTCGTTCTGAAGGGACTTTGAGTTGTGGATCAAGCTGCCAGCCCCCAGTCCGGTTACACAGAGACCCGGACACGTAACCAGATTAAATCCCCAGATCCTGGATACGATTCATCCATCCTGCAGCCGTGCCCCAGCTGTGGACCAAGCTTTACAACCAGGGAATGCTGCTTGGCTGCAAGTTTTCAAGGGCTGGTGGGAATGGGCATGATGCTCCTGTACAGTGGTGCTGCCACGTTTTGACGGAGCTGGGGACATGCTGGAGCAGAGCAGGCACTGCCAGGGGCACGAGTGAGCTGCTCCAAGAGCCCCATGGCACCGGCTGGTCCATCGCCGGAGCCGCAGGGTTGATTCCCAGGGCCAGCTGCCTGCTCGAGTAAATAAAGCAGGTCAGATAGCACCTGCCCGGCTCCATAACTCCAGGCTTTGTTTAGCTGCACTGACAGCCGCAGCAATGCTCCCCGACGTATCTGGGCTTCGTGTTTACGGTCAGCGAGGAGATGACAGCGGGGACGACCGTGCCGCCACAGGACACTCAGGTTCTCAGCCCTTTTTGAAGCCTGTGAAACCACACTGCCCTGTTTCAAAACAATCCAACTAGTTCAGCTTTATCTAGAATTAGCTTAAAGTTAGTCTTCAATCGTATTGTGTTTTTCTGTAGTAGAGTGGTTGTCTCAGTGTGATTTCAAGCTGACAAATTCTTAGCTTAGAGAAATGTAGAGCTGTTGGATTAATTTCCTGTATGATCTGAATCCATCCAAGCAGAGGAAAAATACAATTGAGAATTGTTTTAAATCAACAGGAGAGTGCGACTGAAAAGGGACAGGATGATCTGCTAATAGTTTCTCTGCTTGTTTATAAAAGATATAAATTGAAAGTTTCAATGTGAATCAGAAAAAGTTTTTCAACGTTACCATTTCAACAACTGTCAGAAAAAAAGAAATGCTGAAATGCTCCCTTTGGCAGGGCTGAAATGAGCACTGAGCCTTCTGGCACTTGAACAGCGTTTGTCTGGAGGCTGTTAGACCATAACCACGTCGGGTCCCTGGGGGTGGATGCTATCATGCTAGGCAAACAAAGTTTTATTCACGTTTATAAGCTGTAGCACAGGAACAAGAACCTGGTTTACGTGTGGTCAGCTTCTCCAACAAATATAGAAATATATATTCAGGCTTTCTGTGAAAACAAACAGTTGGCAGCTCAGCCAAAACCAATATCCAGAGGGAAGCCTGCTCTCTGCATCTCTACCCGCAGCAGAGCAGAGCAGTCCGCATGGACTGCATCAGGTGGGTTCAGCTGCTTTGCCCCACTGAGTGTTTGTGCACATGAGTGTGGCTTGTGATGCACGGGGGTGTTTGCTGCTGCCAGCTGCCTGCTTCAGAAGCAAGCAGTTCAGATGGCTGCTGCTGCCACATGCCCTGTGGCTCTCCCTTCCCCAGTGATATCCTGCTCTCCTTGATTTGCCTTCGCAATTGTATAAAAATTCAGAAAAATACCAATTACTAACAACTTGTGCATCTTTATTACGTGACTTGTTTTCCTGCTTGTTTTTCTGCTTCTTCAGACGGATGCTCAGACAGCTGCAATGCGACATCAGACCTCCCTGGTGACAGCACACGGCAGCGAGCCTTCAGAGGTGGCACAACCCGATGACAGCATTGACCTGGTACGAATCGCTCTGCCTTCTGCATTTGCTTGGAGATTTTCAAGGTTGTATCAGCTCAGGCAGCACTGAGGGCTGTGTGGGCATGCAGGAGCCAGTGGATCATCCAGCGTGGAGGTGGCTGGCATCTGTACGGAGCTGCTTGAGTAGGGCTTGTGGGCACACTGCAGCATGAGAGGAGTGGCCCTTCAGAAGCTGTCGTGTGAAGCAGGGAGAAGGAGAGTGGAGGGCGAGGATGCGCTCAAGCTCAGCACTGTGAGCACCATATCCTGCCTCCCAGAATTGTATAAGGACTAGGAAGACACCTCGGAAAATGTTTGCATAAATACCTGCATATAAATACTCCAGATTCACCAGCAGACCTCACCACAGCTGCACGTTGTACTCCAATAAGGGCTTTAAGGAGCACGGTTATGTTCCAAAAAAAACCATGACAAAAATCAAAGCCAGCTGGTGGGTATTCCTACAGCACAACTGTTGGGAAAGTGGGGTTTAATGAAGAGAACCGAGATCCATCATTGTCCCTGTGAGGGCAGTTTCCGTGTTTTGCCTGTGAGTAATCCCCCATGCTTCGGGAGCAAAAATGCCTCAGAAAACACCATGAAATAGCATCGATGGAGGAGAAGGGAAATGCCTGTCTGTCTTCCACGGAGATCAGCTCATAGCTTGCAAAACAAAACCCCTGATTCGCTCTCCCCAGAGATAAAAGTAAAACTTGATGGCCAGAAAGTTCTGTGTTTAGAAAACCCAGCTGGGTATTTGCTGTAGCCAACGAGCAGCACAGAGCAGCCTCCCGGATACATAAAAATCTCCCTGGTCCCCATTAATTCACTCAAAATTCAACAGCTTAAGAGACAAAATGTGTAAAGTTTTATCTGTTTTCTGATAAGTGGAGGCAGTTGCAAACTACCTGCAGCTTTCTAGGTACATTCCTGTACCGAGGTCACTGTTTTCCTCAGACAGCGCAGTGCCAACCACATCTCTCCCCTCTCCAACTGCACTCCAACCTAGAAGCAGAGTGTGAGCAGTGCTGCTCCCCAGCTGACACAACATCAGTGCTTTTCCAGTCCACAAGACAGGAGAAAACCCACCAAATATCAAAGTGCCAAATGAGTATTAATATAAAACAACATTTAGCAAAAATCTGAGTGCCCACCAAGACCAGTTGGTGGTTTAACCAGGAGCCAGCCCATCAGAGAGAGGTGATGGTAGCGGTACCGGGAGGTTTGTGCCCAGCCCCGTTACAGCAGTGGGGTGACCGCGATGCTTACCGGGCTCTCCGCGCCGTCCGGGCTTTCCTCGCCTCCCCGGAGGGCCTGTGGAAACAGAGCAGAGGGTTAGCAATGGGCAGAGGGCAGCCACGAGACCTTCCCCTTACATCCAAACCACCACCTGTCCTCCCCACCTCCACTGCAATCTTGCAAGCCACACCAGCGATCGAAGTGAGGAACCGAAGCCTTTTCTTCCTAACCATTATCCAAGCCCGAAGTCCCCACGTTGGCTGCTGAAGCAGCCTAGACCCCATCATACACCCACTGTCTCAGATATAAAACATTTGCTTCTTCTCCCACCCAGCTGGGCAGCAATAGCTAAGTGGTCAATAAAAAGCTGCGAGGGGCAGCACGTCCTTAAATCAAGGATAAAAGGCACATAAGCAGCAGGCACAGAGCACTGCTGCAGCCAGGTCCCGACCCGGCTGTGATGTTGCATCCTTTGTGCTGCGGGCGAAGGTTTTGCAACCTCTGCTGGCAGCGGGCTCCCATGGCTGGGAGCTGGCAGCTTCCATGCGCCCTCAACACACCCATGGCCAGATGGGGACAAGAAGCCGCTTCTGGTAGCCTCCTGCAGGAGGTCAGCCAGCTCCGGAGAGGCGTTCACTGGGTGTCAGCAACGTTAACAAAAACAAGAGCTCCCTTTTTATATGGGAAACAACCCTGCTCCCTCTGCCTTCTGCTGCTTTGTTAGCTTTTAGGTGCAAAGGACAATAAACACAGAGCCCTAGATATTCCTGCACTCCGAGCAAGATTTCACTTTCTCCATAAACATTTCCGTGCCCAAATGTGTAACTGGACCCCAGGAGCGGCCAGGGGCTCTTCTCTTTAACATTAGGGTAAACCTGTCAGCCGTCCGTCTGTCTGTCCCTCTGTCCAGGCAGGGCTCCAGTCCCCACTCTCCCTATGGAGGTGACAATTTGCAGGTACAAGCCCAGGGCTCACCCTGCAAGGAGTGGGTAGGAAACATCCATGGGAGCTCCTTGAGCTGTCAGGTTGCTGGGGGGCAGAAAAGCCCCTTTCCATGCCAGCCACGGGAACGGGCCAGCTTTGAGCTTGCCGGTGCCCAGCTCAGGGGCTGTGTGACTGCTGGGAATTGCTGCTGTCATTATGAAATGAGGCAGCAGCCTCCAGCCTCCCCCTGCACTCATTTTGGGGGCTGCTCCATCCCTCAGTAGCACTACAACCTGCTTTGTCTCCAGCAGCTCTGTAAGTTTTACCTCTCTGCTGCTAGAGGCAGGGGGGGAGCACGGCGTTTCTTGGGAGCAGGGAATGTGCCAGTGGAGCTGGAGGAGAGGCTGGGTTTTGAAACAAGTGACTAATGAGTTGGTAGCAATGCTTTTAACTCGGTTAGAGGAAGGCTGGTGCCGGAGGGCGAGAGCGTGCCGAGCTCCCGTAAAGCTCAGGATGGGCCCTGAGGACTGAGAGTGTGAGAAACCAAACTTTGTTTAAACAACTACAAAAATCAGTAGTAAACTTAAAGGGATTTCTTACTACTTCACACCATAAGGGAAAAATTGACTACTGCCTACATCGTGTAATTCTTTACAGTCTATCTTTTCCAGAAGGGAATCTGTAAGGAAAGAAGTAACACCTAGAGCCACGAGTACAGCACACTCACAGCAACCACTGAGAGAAATCAAAGATGAGAGAGAAATAAAATCCATTCTCTTCCATTCCCCTTGCTGCATTTGTCTGAAAAAAACATCGGTCAAAGAAATGGAATTGGAAAAGCAGGAAAGACTTTTTGGACTCAACATATAGAATCCTGCTGCCATTCAATAGCTGAATTTGGAAAAGTCTCCGCTGAGAGAACCTGAGCAGGGACCAAGAGGGACATGGCCACCCCTCCAGCGAGCCGCAGCCCTGGGCCATCAACCTGTGCACGTGTGGCCAAGCCCAGTCTGCACAATGGAAATTATGGTGGAGATATTTGCAAGAACTTCACAAGCAGAGCTGCTGCCACCAGCTTGGGGACGAGGCACGGTACGTGGCAGCAGGTGCCAGACACCCGCAGGTGCCAGCAGCCGTTCCTGAGCACCACCAGGGCTCATTCAGGAACCGATGCTCATGCGATGGAAAAAATATCTCTGCCCTGATGCAGATAGCACTAAACATTACACCCAAATTCTGTGTCTAGTTTTAAACCCCATTAGGAGGCTACAATGGAAATTAAGGAGGCCTGGGAATTCGTTTGAAGATAAATGCGAACTGTAAACTGTTCCCTAACGACTCCGACTGCTCGGATCCTGCAGCCTGATGCTTGTTCAATATAATTAAGATTTATGTTGCATTAATGTCAATTGGGCAATCGCCGGGCCTTTTCTCCTACCCATCCCAGCCCCGCTGTATCAGCGCTGGGAGTTCTTTATTTACATTTTTATGAAAGACAGCTTGGAGAGGAGAGCGAACACAGAGCACGGAGCGCTCTGTTTTTAAACAACGTGTCACGCTCAAGCTAAACAGCCCGAGCGCGCGGCACGGCGCACGGTTCCTGACAACACCACGAGCCTGCCAGCGAGACGACAGATCTAATAACACCAAGACAAAGGAAGAGCACGGAATACATCGCTGTTCGGAGCCGTTACGAGGAAGAGCTGATAGGTGCATCTAAGGAATAGCCGCAGAAATAAGGTAAAAAGTTCACAGCAAACGGACGGGGTTGGCTCAGCCTGCTCCGCCGGGCAGTGGCCACGCATGTCACCTACTGTGGGTGAGCAAATGAAAAATTAAAGGCAACGTTGGTTTTGTAGCTCACAGAATATTGCCAAGAGCCCAAATAACACGGTTCTCCACAGGGCAGTAAATTATCCCTCGTTGAACTAATTTACCCTGTTGCAAATTGGGTAACTGCTGACTGGGTCACTCTATAAATTCAGTAATCCACCAGTACCGGGGCAAGCAGGGCTAGTGCACCACGCGTGTCAAACACGGCTTTGTCCCTCCTAATTCAGCCAAATCTGGCACTCCCAGACTGAGAAAACTGTGTTGCTGGGCCCTGTCACTTCAGCTTTGAGTTTACGAACGCTATGACCACCTGCCTTGCTGATGGACATAAGGGAAATTGGTGTTCACCAAAATGAAGGTGGGTGTTAAATGCCAGCAAAAAAAGATCAAGTTTCACACTGTTTTGGAGGGCCTACCCACTCATAAAATCGGCAGTTTTTTCTAATTTTCATTTTTGCGAGCTCCAAGTGGTTTAGATTGTTTCCCGTTCTTCCCTTTTGGCATTTTTCAAATTGTCTTCTTCCTTCCCTTTTTGGTTTTTCTCCTCCGGTTAAAAATGAGTCAACCAGAAGAATAGCTTGAACAAATTGGTTGGTTCGGCCACTCTCGGAGAAGCCTATTTATTATTTTTTTCCCATATGGCTTTACTTAGAAGGAAGGAGACCTGTGCAGCGTACCGCAGGGCCTGGTGTTGAGCACTAGGAAGCTGCAGGCCCCGCTCTCGCTGGCTGTTCCTGCACAAAGGCCAATTTACTTTCTTGTTCCCTGGGGAAAAGGTTTATGGTTCACGGACAGAAGTCAGATTCGGCGATGCTTGCTCAGCTGATACTCATCAGGCATTCGGGCCGGACTGCAGACTCTGAGACCACAGATCTAAGATTAAACAGTTTTGGGTCACAACGTTTTGCATGAACCTTCTTGGCTACGGATTCCAGCGGACCCAAAGATTCAAAGCAAATACCAGACACAGATTGGAAACATGCAGCACCTATAGTCTATAGAGTTTTTCCAAATTAAAAAAGAAAAAAAAAGAAAATAATTTAAGATTCACTTCAAATTTGGTCCAAGAGCCCTGAAAACTCTGGAGTCCCGGGCTATGGTTTATGTTAGCAGAAAAGCCACCCAGAAAGCAAGCTCTGGTTGTTAGTGGAGGGAAGCTCCTTGCAGCTCCATATGTGATCCAGTTGCTTTTAAGATACAGAACAAGCAAGGAATTATTTCCCTTCGTATAACTCCACGTGGCCTGCCTGGGCAAGGATGCACACAAGCATCCTCCTTGCCATGTGCTGGGAGCTGTGCTCAGTTTCTGGGGAAGAAGGCAGCTCCAGGACCCAAGCTGGAACAACTGGGCAGCATTCGAGGTGGTGTGTTTTGGCTAGAGCACCTGGGCACCAGAGGTTTATGCCACAAACTCTACAGCTGAGCTACAACAAGGGGATCCCAGTGAGATGAGATGGGTGCAGAGCTGGGGGGAACAGCCTTAAACCACCCCAACAAGGTGACAAAGCCAGTCCGTGTCCCAAACGTTACCTTCACCAGCAGCAACAAAACCCACACGAGAGATACATTAGCCTGTGAGATGGCACAACTCAAGATCAGAGGCAAATTTGGGGCGTTTCAGTGTTTTTCCTAGCTGTAGCCAACAAAGGCTCCTCTTCTCTTGGGTGGGTGCTTGTTACAAAGGGAAAAATAATATTCAAGATCATTCAAAGAGTGAAACGATCTACAGGCACATGTTGAAACAAACCAAAGCGCCGCTCACGCTACATTTAAAGCCAGTGAGGTTGTGCTGCTCGCTCAGTGCTCTGGATTCCCCCTACACACACACCCTTAAATCATTTTTTTCCCCTTTTTCCCCACACCCAGAGACAGTTTCTTCAAACAGTCAAGCGCGTACAGCTCTTTTGTTTAGTCACCAGGGCATGAAGATAAACTGAATTTGAAATATAAATTAAGAAGTGACTGGAATAAAGCCACAGCTGCACTCACATCAAACACGGGCGATTTGCCTTTTGTTATGGCTGCTCTTGCTCAGGCCACTTTCTGATAACGTGCTGGCACAGGGCAGGAGCAGATGGACAGGGTGCTCCCCGCCTTCTTTTTAAACCAAGAGGATGCACGTTTGGGCAGCTGCACGGGCTGCCGTGTGCAAGGTGGGGAGGTTTCCATGGCAGATTCCAGCTTCACACATCTGCGCTGAGGCAGCTGCTTGAGTGCAAACCCTGGGCAGAGGCGGTAGCTTTGAAAGCCCTTAAGAAGGCAGGCGCCTACACACAGGCTTTGGTGATTCTTTATGAGAAGTGACCACCTCTGTTCAT